TTATAAACATATTATCTTGAGTTTAATAAATTGTATGATATAATAAATCTTTGTGTATTATCACGATGACGTCCCCCTTTTTTTTGTGCCGGTGGATTCGCCTCGATAATGCGGTGGTATGCCGGCGTCACTGTGGGGACCAACTTGTCCTTCGTTTCTACTTCAGCGTTTTTTTATTTTTATCAGGGTCATTCTGCTTAATTAGTATAGGACGAAACTATTATTGCTAGGGCAAGTCTGGGCAAGGTAACACCCACGTGGGTAACACGACATCTCTCAGGCAGCTTGTGATAACTTGCCTCCCCTATTCTGTGCGTGTATTAATCTGTGCGTGTTCAGGCAACTAAGTTCTATAGGGCTCATACCACTAATTGAAACTCCATAGACGACAATGTTAACATATGACGAGATTGCTATATGAAAATGATAAACAAAGTTGAAAACATGGCTCTAAAATGGGAAATCTACATGCCAGTAATCAATTACATGAAAAAAACTAACATGTTGGCCAGCTCACACTCTTGCAAATCTCAGGTAAACAAGACTGTATTTTGATTGCACCTAGAGAAATCACTGAAAAAAATCAAAATACACACAGAATAAACCCACAGGTAGACAGCCGCTGAGTAGTAAACAAAAGACCACATGTTAGTCTCACCTTTAACCCTGGTGGTGTACGCCCTCAAACAGGGCGCACCTGAGAAAAAAATCTATAAAAAAAAATCATAGGTTCTGGCAAGGCATTTGAATTGAACGAATGGTTATTGGTTGATTAGTGGCATGAGACCTATAATCTTGATAGGGGGACATTTATTTATTTACAGTGAACTATCATAGACCAGAGTCTAGCTTCCTAGTACTAATGACGGTAGACCGTAATTTTTATGACCAATTAATTTGGGCCCTGTCCGGAGTCATTTCTTAGACACACAGACTAAGTATGATGACTTACATATGCACATCCCACAATGCAGAGCGGCAATGACAGGCGGCCATCATAGTTTTCATAATTACTTATATACTATATCGCCTG